GAGAGAGAGAGAGAGAGAGAGAGAGAGTGTGAGTGACTCAGTGAAAGAGGAGAAACTAAATGACTGAGAGAGAGGAAAGAGAGAGAGAGAGAGAGAGAGAGAGAGAGAGAGAGAGAGAGAGAGAGAGAGAGAGTGAGAGAGTGTGAGTGACACCCACATAAAAAGATTCAGATTTGCAACAATCGTTTCCCATATGTTTAGACTACCAAAGGGATAGAATGACAGAGAGAGAAAACTGAAGGAGGCAAAGAGAGACTGATAGAAAGAGAGCGAATGACAGAGAGGGAAAAATCGAACGACATACAGAACTAATGACAGACAGTGAGAGAAAACCGGAGGCAAAGAGAAAGATAGATAAATAGACATATGGACAGATAAAAAAAGAAAGAAAGGGAGAGAGAGACTTAAAAAAAAAAACCTTTTATCTTAAAATATGCACATTTAGCCTTTGCTTGATAAATATTGTAAATCAAGTTTCAATGGCTAATCATTCGAGAATTTTGATTTGAATATTTATGAGAGAATTCGCAGAAAAATTCTGCCGAGTTTGTAAGGTTAGGTTTTTTTGCAATAATTTAAACAAAACTGTCCTATCAAATCGCGCTAAACAAAATTTAAAAATTTCTGTTATAATCGTTGTTCTTTAACAAAACTAGATGTCACTATAATAACACCGTGTAGTACGATTATTCCACACATGGTCAACGACTTCCCGTTCGTACGATGGGAGAAAAAACGGTCAAATATGCATCTCGACGTGGATAAGAAACGGCAAAGAGTGAGAAAAAATCCAATTTAGGCAGATGGGCGTGAGAAAGTACGCGCTGTTTGTAAGCTAAACGACCGTTTGCATTTACATCAAGGAGAGGGCCAAAAGAAATACGAAAAGGGAATGAGTCACGAGGTTGATTCATAACGACTCGAAAGAAAATCAACACATTAACGTGGCAGTTGCACACTCACCATTGAGCCAAAACCAATTATCACCATCAATTAAAAAAAATTGCATAAATCGCTAAACATCGAGACAATTATAAACACTGCATGAATCACAAAAAATTCAAACTGATCCGAATATTGTATTATACTTAAAGACATTTGCACTTGACAAAAAAATAATAATATTTGGCAAAAATATCATCTTAAAAATTTTAATATATGTGGACCAAGGAAACAATCCAGTTATTATATAATTTCAGAATTTTACATATGACAATCAAAAACCGTGAAAAATCGTACAAAACAGAATTATTGTAACGTGGGTAATAAACAATCTAAGAGTATAATAGTATAATAAATATGGTATGAACAAAACAGCTTTGCATTTTGGCTGATATTTGTGTGGTGCTAATAGGCAATTTAAAGTTCTAAAGAGTGCAAATTTTAAAAAGAAGAAAAATGGTCAAACAAATATAAAATCGAACTTCTTTGTTAGTTATGCTTTATGTCCCACTTGACCTACGTTTATCTCTCGTTCTATTTGTTTATTTTCTTTATCTAGTTCACTTTCTCTCCCACACTCTCTCTCTCTCTCTCTCTCTCTCTCTTTGTTGTCTCTCTTTCACTATTACTCTCCTTTTGTTTTCTCCCTTTGTCAGTATGTCTCACTGTTTCCTTCTGTCCTCTCTCTGCCTGTCGTCCTCCGTCTCTCTCTCTCTCTCTCTCTCTCTCTCTCTCTCTCTCTCTCTCTCTTTATCTATCTATCTATGTATCGATCTGCCTATCTATCTATCCATCTATCTATCTACCTATCTATCTATCTATCTACATATGTATCTATGTATCTATCAATCTATCTTGCTATCGCTTTGTCCGTATCTCTTTCGTTCCCTCTTCCTTTCCCTCTTTCCACTTGTTTAGCGTTTTCCTCTGTTTTCTCTTGCTGCTGTCTGTCTCTCTCTTACCCTCTCCCTCCCACTCTCTCGCTCTCTTTCAAGCAAATTTGCGAACCGAAGCAATATCTCACAAATTTTAACCATCCCCCACAATTTAAACTCTAATCCCAACTTTAACCTTTAATATCGCTAACAGAAAAAGAAACTTTTGCCATTTTTTAACCCTTTACATTGATTTAGTTACAAAACGGAAAGTGGTAATTTTTTTCGATGGTCCTTATCAGCAGAGCACATATCAACCCTCGGGGTGTCAATGTTTGTGAAAAAAGCCCGTTTGTATTTATAACTGCATTTTCGAATAGAAACTCGTGCTTGTTTCATGAGTATCAAAAAATAATCGCTAATGCCGCATACTGTTATATTCTGTACGAATTGAACAAGCATTCGTGGCAACATAAATAAATAATAAACCGAACAATATGAAAATATTAATAAACGATTGACGATGATGAACTATCGACGATTGTAGTGATGGAATTAGGCCCGCCAGGTCTCGTTGTCCTTGGCCGTGGTTCACCCGGGCCACCGTCAATGAATGCCAATTAAAAAATACAACCAATTTATTGCATTTGCCTATTTGAATCAAATCAGGTTGAATAACGTAGATGTTATTTCAGCTTATATCTATGCAAAATACAGGTTCTAGAGAATGAGTCAGTGTAGAAATGTTAAAAAAAAATCGCGTTTGCCCTTGCATAGCTACGGTAAACAAAATCTTGACTCATCCAAGGCTTAATAGGGGATTTAATCGCGTGAAAGGAAGGGGCTCAGTATGACAATTAGCTAAGGGAGTTTGTTGAACCTGGGGAGCGGCCGATGGGCCGTCGGCGATTCTCGAAATGAGTAATGCACTTGAAAAATTCCAAACCGGTAACGGAACCGGTAACACGGCAACAACTCTATTCGTTCTTGCACTTCCGGCCTGCGTCAGCCGCGACTGGGGGCGGGGGCGGCAACCAAAACCGATGAGTTACAGTTCGAGTGCCTGTGTGTCACAGGACAATGAATGGAATACCTGATGACTCATGCCTGGTATTGTAGCAAAATAAACTTTATCAGCTAAACACAATCATGTTACGTTTCACGATAAATACAACTTTTCTTAATACGGCAATATAAACAGCTAGTTAGAAGGTTGATAGGCATCAACAAAAACGTCTACCAAGTGGGTGGGCAGTATAGCTTCCTCACATTTTGTGCCTGCGCATGTGCATATGTTAATTTGCTTGGAATAAAATGTATCGGGGATCGTCTAGAAAGCAACCAGCATAATCTCTGAAAATTGCATAAGAATCCGACAAATGGTTTTGGAGATATAGCTATGTACATGATTTTACGTTTGCGCATGTGAACGCGATACCGTTGATCCGATTGGGATGAAATTCATTGGGGACATCTCTAAACCAACCGGCACAATCTCTGAAAATTTCATAAAAATTGGTCTCTTGGTTTCGGATTTGTCGGTTACCAGACAATTGACCACAGACAGCCACGGAACCAAATCTGTCAGAAAGGTCTGAACAGCAAAAGGCGAGTGGAAATTTTGATTTTGGAGGGCAAATTTTTTTTCGATTTCCCACATAAATACAAAGCATCCCTACCTTCGGTAGTTCGGAAGCAAAAATGAGCTAGGATGTAACTGAGACTTGAATTTACTCATTTATTTGTCCAACCCTGCTTTCCAAAAAGTTACATACCTAGGAGTACCTCGACCAAAGGTTAACTTGGAATGCTCAATTATGCCACTCATGCCAAAGAATCCGTGGAAGAAACTGGAGGCACAATCCTTAAATGACCTACTTTACGATTGTCAGACCTATGATCTCTCATGCAAGTTAGTATGTTGGCCAAGAATAGAATAAAGTCTACAAAAAGAATTGTATAACTTAGTAACAACTAGTAAGCTATTAAAACAACATTTACAGCTACAGTGAAACGTATAC